GTCAGTACAAGAGCGAGTAGTTTTCAAGTTGAGTTTGGGAGCGTAGGAGTTCTCAGTTGCATGTTTGAGGAACACAGATTTAACTTGAAGACTATTATGCAACTGCTAAGCAGAAAGCCTGGCTAGATAACATTTCCATGGTCAGAAAAGCAACGTACATTGTCTTCCTAATGGGCAGAGGCCTAACACATACCTATGCTCATGTTGACTGTAAGTCATCCTCATTCTCAAATGGACTATTAATGTGTTGATGAATAGAAGAAAAAAAAAATTGTTTTTTTCTTACTCCAAATCCAAAAGTATGTTCAGGCCAGGGCACAACAGAGATCCTCCACAATGACACAGCAAAAGCATCTGGCTTCTTGAAAAGATTTCAGTAACCATGCGTACCTGATTGGTAGTAAAAGATGCCTGAAAATATAACAGGATGTTCTTTGCATGTAACATACTACATGACATTGCCAGGAAACGTTAAAACCCCAATGCAGAGGGTGTCAGTGTAGAACTAAATAAAGAACCAAGGATGGCTGATTTGAGGTTAAGCCCCATGGTTCCCAAAGATCTTAAGAGAAATGAAGTCTGGAATATACTTAACCACCGGTTGTGGATAGTGAAATCTATGAGTAGCTGGTATTTGGTGAAGTATCTGGACAGCCAATCTTTGCTACAAACAGCAGTGTATTTGTGTGCTAGGGATTAGTGTAGGGAGTGTTATCATGTCTGCTCCAGTCCAGAAGATGAGCTAAGATTTATATACCTTTTCCATATATGTATAGACTCAGTGTGGAGGTGTTACTGATTTCTCTGCTATAGGAATTCAAGTGCACGTGGAGGTAGGTAGAATCAGGTAAAACCAACTTTCTGTGTTTGTTTAAACAAGCTCCAGATATTGTGGTATTTTTGTCAGAACCACTGCTTTATCCCTCAGGCAAACAACTTCTGAATTTCTTTTTTCCTGAAATTAAATCTTGGTGGAGATTATATTGGAGAGTAACAGATAGATTTTGCATCTGTAGAGGTTGTGCTTCCAGTACTTTCTGCACATTCATATCTGCTCGAGCAGTCAAGACAAAAGGCTCTTCCTGTGTGCACTATAATGCCAAAGCATGATGATCTGTTATTGCTGCAAAGCAGCTGTTGCCCACTGTTCTCTCTCCTTCCTGGCAAGCAAAGACACATATCCAGCACCTCAGGCTTCACATGCCTGGTAGTCACCTCAGCATTTCCCAAGTAACTGCACTGAGTGGTCCTCAGTGTGATGCCATAATACTGAGCATCAACACAAGAACAGGATCTCCCATTTAACTCACCTGTCACAGGGACAAGGAGCCTGATGTATAGGAGCAGAAGAATATACTTCTCACGTGATGTCGTTGTCCTCAAAACAGGAACGCTTCTCATCTCCTCCAATTTACTCCCTTTAGCCCTACCCAAAAAGCTTTAGGGGAATGGGGGTGGAGGGGCAGTTGGGAATATTGCGTACAGCAGTATGATCTCCCGCTAGTTAATGTCAGGATAGTTAACACCAAGCCTGCTAATAATAAACTCCCATCAGCCAATCTGTGCCTTCTTTCACCCTGCTTCTTCATAATTTTTCATCTTAATATGTGCATTCTTTACTGCTGGAGGTACTTATTTTCTTTGTTGTTCAAGGAAATGTGTAGGTGAGGTACTTGAGACTGTATGAGTTGCAGCAGATAAAGCTGCAGATCCCATCACTATGCCTGTGGTAATGTATTGGTTCTCATTGCTCAAAATTTCTGGGTTTCTGAAGGAAAGTATCTTCTATCCAAAGGTGACAAATATATTGAACTATAGAAAGGACAAAATCTTAACACCAAAGCAATACTTCAATCTCTGCAGCTGAATTTTCAGCTCCCAAAAGACAAAAGCATTCTCTTCTATCATACTCAATAGTCTTCCTACAAAATTATGGCTTTGCATCTCATGGAAGAAAAGTCCACTGAGGTATATACTTCATGGCCAGGCTTCACGAACAAAGATTTAGGGAGAGCTCTACCCACGTTTGTTACAAGCGCGCTGGTGGCTAAAAAGGCCGATATGGGATAGGCATGTCCGGTTGCATGAGGTATACTTAATACATAATTACTGGTTTAGAATAGCAGTAAATCATTGGTAGCCATAACTTTGTAGGAACAGGTTATGCAATTGAACTCTTTATTGTATCAAGAACCCACTGACTTCTTCCTTTAATATCTCTGAAGCTTTGTTTTAGAAAAGACTATGAGCAGTTCATCTCCTCAACTTTTGTGCCCTACCTTTGCTTTTACAGTCTTCTACCTCCCTTTTCATCGGGTCATCTGTTTACAAGCTAAAGAGTACCGGTCTATATATTCTTCCTAGGGAAGCTGTTTATCATCTTAATTGCCTTTTTCTGAACCTTCCCTAGTTGTATATTTTCTGTGATGGGAGGAGGCAAAGCTCTGGTGGTGCATCTCCCCTCCACCAGAAAAAAAACAAAACCAAAAAAACCCACATACAATATTTATGATACAGGTGCATCATAAGTTACATAGCTGGAACATGCACCTTGTTCTCTATTCCTTTTCTAAAAATTACAAGTGTTTGACTTCTTTTGAGCTGATACTTTGTAGAGTAATAAATCCTGAGATCACATGCCCAAGCTTAGCTGCAATGGTTTGTTTAGAGCCCATGACCATACATGTAAAAGCTGGATCTCCCTTTTAGCACATCCCCCATGAACAATAATTTTGTTGAATTTTTTCAGCCACTTTACTTCCTAGACAACACTGAGGTATTACAATTGCCTTAGGGAGCAGCTGTTCTGGTGGAACTGAGTATGAAGATCTCTTGTATTAAACAAATAGAAGCTCATTACTGCTGCCTGCCTTCTACTATTCCCCCAGCCTAGCTCCTCTGACTTTTTCAAGAACTCCTTTTGTGGGACTTTCTTGCCAGCTGCTTCAACCATCAAACTCATTTCCTCTTGTCCTGAGGGAGGAAACTGTAACCTGCCTTGGACTTCATTAAGCTGAAATTCTGCACTTTCCAATTAAATGTCAAACACTGATTTTAGTGAGGCTAGCACCCTCACTTTACTGAAAGGATTTATTTGGGTCTCAAGCAGGAGACTTTCTTCTCTCCTGAAATCATGCATCAGGAGTATCTCCAAACATTACTTGCAAAAATTTCACATTAAGCTTCCTGAAGATTCAACTGGCAGTAGTCAGCACCAGGAATTCATTTAGCACACCCTGAACTCAGTCTCTGTGATGGTTTGCAATACCAAGGGTTATTCCTAATACTGAGGAAGAGCTGGCAGCAGCTGAAATCTTGCCCTTTTGTACCATTGGGAATCTGTCTAATCACTTCTGGTCAAGTAGCAATTTTCATCACTTATCTTGCCTGTTTTTACACATCTTCCTGTATGTTTGTGAAGACCATGGGATCCCTTGAGATTGATGGTTCTTCAGGATCTCAGACTTTCCCTTCAGTGATGCCAAGATCCACTGAGTATTTGCAGAATGATGTCATTTATTTGCCATCTCTCAAGCCTGAGGGTGAAAGAATACTTCCTTCTTTGGTGATGGAGTACTCTCCTGGGACTTGGAGGGTTCTGGACTCTTTGCTTGCCAGGAAAACTCAAAACTGAGAATCTCTGCTAGTCCTAGTTACTGGAGTTAATGCATCCATTGGTTTATTCTGATATTGTTGCTGTTCTTGGGAGCTTTAGATGCTAGTGGCCATTTCACACACGGAAAAAAGAATGTCATCATATATCATGAAGCATTAAGGGGAGACTTTTAGTATAGGGCATCCTGAAGGTAACTTGATCACCACCAAAATGTGCCTGAATGTCAAAATTACACAGTGTTTGTGGAGTTGAATAGAGGCTTAGACTCATTTTTTCCAAGGATCCTTCACAAAGGCAGGGTGTATATCTGGTGATGATTGCTGTTTTTATCCTGGCTACTGGTTGTGAATGACAACTGGAGATCTTACTTTGCTTTTCAGACCTGCTTGCAGAGAATGTAAAGTGTGCTGTTGTACTTCATCCCACAGCTCAGGTGTGTAATGGTTCTCCAGTCTAAAGTGAGTCTAACCTTTCTTTCTTTTTGGAATAAGTTCTAATTTTTCTAAGGGGACCTGATTTTTCACTTAATATTTAACCATCCATTTCCTTTTCAAGACCTCCATCTGTTTAATAGTCTGTTATTTTTTAAAATGTAAATATGATGTTCTCTATTTGATGAAGTCTGGGTATAGTATAAGTAATTTGATACGTGATACAGTACAAGGTTGCAATATAGGGATCAGCATCTCTACTGCAGAATTTATCTGCTTGCTGTAAGAGCCTCTGTTTTCTCTCATTCTGCTCTCTAGGGAATTTTTAAGTATGAAAATCCTAGCCGAATTCCTATTACAATGGTAATCATGATATGGATGAGGCAATTGTAACTTGAAATCTGAGCTCATAACAGCCTTCACCTTTTAACAAAGTTTTTTTCTTCCAGGAGCATGAGAGAGATTCTGGCCTATTAACTGTTCCTTCTAATATTCTCTTCTTTCAAGTAACTTATTGGGGTTTTTTAAGAGCTTATGCTGGGACAATTCTCCATGTTCTTTCTGCCAGGAGTCAAGAAATTAATGTAATTGTTTTCTTTTCCAACTAGCACATTTCTGTGGCCAAGGGCTTGCTTCATAACTCACTCAAAACTTTAGCTTTTACTTCGTTATGCAGAAAATCAAACCTTTCAAGGGAATCTGCATACATAGTGGTTACCAAAACTAAATGATCTAATGGTGTGATCCTAGGGAAGTACTTTCAATGGTTATCTGGCAATTTCATGACTTGCAGCAAGACTCTAAAAGTAGATCCACAATCTTTGCTGAGAGCATTCTTTGCTGCAACTCAGGTAACAGCAGTGGAAAATGTCCTTGTTCTCATGATTTGCAAAGTCATTGTTGGGGGGGGTTGCATTTGCAGAAAGGCACTACACTGTTCCTTGGTTTCCATGTCTGATGTGTCTGTTCCTGCTCAGTAAAAATCTACAGTACCCATTCAGTTGCTATGTGAATGTGTGTGGCGTTGCCTGGATTTATCACGCAGTGTGGGGCAGGTATGGGAGAAAGGAAAACTCGTCATTCACTTGCACACTTTAAGACATGTTCTCCATCTGTTGTTGTTTCTCCGACTATCTTCCTTCTGCCAGATCATCGTATGTGAGATAAGAAAGGATATAATGTCTACGGTGCTAAAATACATTGGCACACATGGATAACGCTGTGCTGTAAGAAGGGGTGGAAGCTGCAGTGGAGTGCATGCATGCTGCAAATACTGCAAAAAGTATGAATGTGGAAAAATGTATAGATTTCTTCAAGGTATGTTGACTGCACATACAATTCTTGGTGGTTCTTTTTTCTGAATTTCAGGGGTAGCAAACTAGTATCATGCATAAAATCGTATTTGCCCTTCCTTTGCTTTCTCTGTAAGTAGAAATACAGCAGTGATGAAGAGAGACATAGGTGGTTATTTGTATGCACAAAGGAAGCTTCGTTTCCTAGGGTCTGCCTCAGAGTTGAATTATGTGGTAGTTCATGGAAAAGAAGTTAAAGCTTTCCCAAAATATGAGTTACTCATGATAACAGCATGACACAGTAACAGCATACGCTTCTTCTTCCTGATGTCTTGGAGAAGCCAAGGGTGCTATGTCCAATTCAAGACATTCAGCAATTCAAAAAGTACCCAAGAAGGCCAAGATAGATGGAGACTGTGGAGAAATAAGTGAAAGAGAGCAGGCAAACACAGAAAGGAGGTGAGTGCACGTGTCTTACTAAGGTGCCACTGGTAAGTTAACCACCTTAGGATTAGCCATGCACAACGCTGGACTTTAACTGTGTGTCTGATCCTGACCACTGCATCAGAGTCTGGAAACCATGGCATGGTTACCTGCGCATGATCTGCCTCTTGATATGGAACTTTACAACAAATACCTAATTTACTCGATGTCTTTTTCTCCACGCTGATATAGTGCTATTTGCTACCTCTTTGTACTGGCTGTAAGTTTTCTGTTACTAGGTCACAACTGGCTTTAGAGAGTGCATTGCCATCCAGCAGTTCAGCCATGAGCAATACGTTGCAGCCAACTTTCAAAATCTTTGGAGCAGGATGGGAAAAGAGCTGAAGAGGATGGTAAGCCCTGGAAAGGATTGGCTTGGAAACACATTTGAATATGTAAAATAGTGATCAATATGTTTACTATAAAAAGTATTTCCAGTAATTTCTGATAAGCTAATGGGTCTAGTGGAGGAAAGATAAGAGTGTACTGAAAATAGATGGCATCCCTCCAAAATAACTCACTGTGTAAGTCAAAAGCATTCCCCTAGAAGTATCTGCCGCTTGTCTTGGAAGATAATATTCCAAAGAGACTGCAGAGATAAAGTTCAGAGAGAGGAAAATATCTTTATTTGGTATTTAATAAAGATATTATAAGTATCTTTGAGTAAGAATGTTCAGGGATAGTCAGTACATGGCCGATAGGCCTATGATTCCTTTTCATCCTCCAAAGGATTTATGCATGGGTAGGGATGGCATTTGTTTGTGAAAGCAAACATTTGTTTCTGTTTGCATGCTGTGACTTTTCCAGTTGTGCGTGGTTAGGTAAGTAGTGCAAGTACTTGATTAAAGTTGAATCTTCCTCTTGTGTTTGTAATGTTTGGTTTTGACAAATAATCAAGAAACATACTTTTCGCTGTTAGTCAGCTGCAAGGGTTGGAAGGAGTAACATTTTACAAGGCCTAAATACTATCTGTTGGTTTTTAAAAAAATGATGAGGAAACAGTAATGCTCTTTCCCATTAGTTCAGATGTGAACGGTTTCTGTACTCCAGTGCTCCACAGAAACTCGCCATCCGCTTTATGAATCTATTCCCAAATAACTTGAGTATTTTTTTTCTAACAATCTTGCCTTTCTAGTTTATAATTTATATCTAATAGAGTGAAAGCTGCACCTGAAGTTGTAAAGGTTTTTTTTCAGAGCCTTGGTATTACTGTACTGTGTAATGCAGTGTTTTATTTTCCATGGTTAAGCTTGCTTGATGTCAAACATTGACTTTTTGCCCAAGTCAGACAGAGAAATACTAACTTCTGCGATGTTACTTGAGCCTCCCTGTCTGTTGTATTGTAGAGGTGCAAGGGAAAAGCTTTCCAACTGGATAAAAGAGCATTAGATGAAGAATACATCTCTGTGGAAATACTGGAGGTCTTCTATAACAAAGTAGTATAAAGATGAGTTGTCTTAAGTATCAACAGCTGTTGTATTTCTCTTTTATGCTGTGGTGCTGCCTCATTGCAGCTATTTCTTGTCAACAAAGAAGTTTTGGGGTTTTTTTGTTTGGGTTGGTTTGGAGGGGTTTTTGTACATTTCTGAGTTTCTCCAGCCACTGTGTCCTAGTTAGAACAGCTGGGACCAGTTCATCACTGTATGGGTGTAACCCAAAACTGTGTATTCTATAGCCTTCCATGCCACTTCCCAGAAACTGTCATCAATAGACCATTTACACCCTCTGCCCAGAGCAGCCTGACTCCTTAGGCTATGAACTGGGTGTTAAGAGGTCTGCGAGATAGGAGGGTGCCCCCTGTCCTCACACCCATTGTGGAACTCCCCGCCCTGAGGGAAGTACTGGGCATTCCTGCCTGAACTGGAGGATATATAATCTTGGAGTCTTGGAACTTTTTTAACCACTCGTGGGATCCAGAGGAAGACTGTAGACCACTGCTCTCAACCAGACTGCAACCACCACTCTCGACCAGACTGCAACAGCACTCTCACCAACAGGTTTTTCCCCTCTCCTTTTACTTTGGACTCAGGGGGCCCAAAGAACACCACTCTGTTCATGCCCCAAGGTGCTGGGTTATACATTTGGGTTTTGTGGGTTAAAACCAATTGTTGTCTGTATAATCGTACTTATTGTATTATTTTATTAAATTGTTATTCTGACTTATAATCTCTCTTTTTAAGTTGGGTTCATTTCCCCTGCCGGTTTACTTTTAAACCAGCACACACTGGAAGTGAAAATGATGTTATTTCATTGTAGAGAAGTGTTATACTGAAAGATGTTACCTTTAGCAGGGATTGCTGTTCTAATCTTTCTGCTGGAGAACACAATTCCCAGAACTCTGTTTGTACCACACTAGGGAGCTCTGCACGAGCTGTTCTCCCAAGCTGTTTACTTGTATTTCTCCACCTTCTTCCCTTCTGTGCATACTTAAAGCTTTCCTACAGCACTCAGTGAGAGGGAAGGCAAAAGGGCTCTTTGCTAATTATGGAACAGTTAAAAATGTCTTTCCGAGCTGCTCCTGGCAGAGAGGGTGTAGAAACACTTGTATTGGGGGAAAAAATGAAGAGATACAAATGGCAAATCCTGAGAGCTGTGTGAGAATTCATGCTCTTCTGCTGGTTGCTTATCCTTAGATATGGTGGTGAGCATCTGACAGACAGGAGGGGTGTATTAAGCACAGGGACACAGGAATGCACATGCCAGAAGGACAGAGCTTTATGTCCAAAGTGCCCTGTCCTATAAACAAAGAGCTTAGGTGTAGAGCAGTTTTGTTGGGAAGAATCTATACAGATACATATATAAAAGATCAAGCCCTTAAATGAGTTATCTATACAAATTCATTATGTACTAATGTTGTTGCCTTACAGTGTTTTAATGCACACTGTATGTCCTGGCCTTCCTTTGAGGTGACTAAGCAGGCGTTACATCCTAAATCTGTCATTGTGATGGGCATACCTCAGCTTCCTGTTTCCAGCAAGACAGTTGACTCCACACTGTGGAACTCCTATATAAGAAGTCAAAACTGCTTTAGCTCTTTGTGACAGTGGTGCTTGGCAGAGCAAATCTCAAACAGTAGTCAGGCGATGGAGGGAGGATGGTAGCAGAGATGTCTGCTTAGTTGCTCTGTGAAGTCCCATCATTGGTTCTGATGAGGAAAATATGAGGAATGACAGCTGTCTAGCATGTATTTGCCATTCCCTCAGCCACACCTAGTCTGCTTTTTTAAAATGTTTTGATTTGTTCCATAGACAGAACAAATCTAATGTTACAGTTAGGTGCAGGGATCAGGGAGAGGACAGGAAGCTTTCAAAAGCTGTAAGTCCATGTATGGAGATCCAGGGTGTTCAGTTTGCAAAACCTACTACCATCTGCAGCTTTAACGTCAGCATTTGAGGCCTCCTACTAGTTTGACTATACAAATATCCCAGCTTCTGTCAAATTGCTCATTTGCAGCTGACATATTGCCACTTAAAAGTAGTGCCTCAGCTCTGGCTGAGCTCCATGTTGGACTTTATAACATCTCTCTGTATTTGTTTATTCAGCATAAATTATTTTACTACTGGGTGTAGCTCTTTATGAAGCCTGTCTCCTGGAGATATTGCCAGTGGAAGGAAGTATAACTATATGATATTTACCTTACCATGATGCTGTTGTAGTCATACTATTTGACTCATGCTTAGTACAGTTTGTTTTAGAGTAATACTTGAAGGTCAGTGGAGGAAGGACTGTTCCTGCGTTCACTTGGAAAAAAACAAATGAAGCAAAGCACAAAGAGTCATCTCCTTGGGTTTTTTTCACTTGTCATACACAACTGATAGCAGACTGGAGCTATGCATTTCACAGTTATGTTAAAATAATTTAAAAAAAATCCAGTAACATTATGCTTGTATGACCTGTAGAAAAGTGCTCCAACATCTTCTGGAACAACTTACAGTAGATGATTCAATTTTTGAAATGTCCTGAAGGTGAGGTATATTGAACACATGAGACACCTGTTAGCAGAGGAGACCCCAAGAGCAAGGCTCTGCAGTGCCTCTGAACTGGGGATCTATATTTAACAGCAGTGATGGTTGTGCATTCTGTTCCTCATTTGTTTCCTGCTGTGCCCCCAGCATGTCAGATTCCTTCCCTCACAAAAATGGAAGTTTAGATGGTCTCCCTTTCATTTCTCCCCCAAGACAATTTGTCATGCATTTTTGCTCTCAGTGCTAAAATCAGTTTATTAACATATGTAGACACCATTTGAGCTTTTCAAACAAAATCTGTAGCATAAGGATCCAATTATGTGATTGTATAGTTAATGATCCTTTTAAATTTAAAACTCCCTGTAAAATTTTACTGGAAGCTTCAAGAGTCTTCAAACTGTCATCCTGAATTGCCACAAAAAGTAGCATTTTTTTGATGTAATGTAAATCCAGATTGTTCAGAGGATATGATTAAATCTAAAAGTAATTTTGAGGATATAAAGGCAGAATCCAAGGCACAGTTCTCTTAACCTTAGAAGAAAGACTTCTGCTTTGTTCTTCTAGTACTATTCAAAACACACACCTTCCTTGTGTAAAATGGATGCAAGAAGCTGAAATGAGGAACCAGCTCCTGACTCCTCTCACTTTTACTAATCATGCTTGGAGTCCAACCTGCCGGGGATGGATAAGACCTTCTGAACTGTGCTGCACTGTCTGCTTTGTGCATACCCATGGGTGGGCACCTGGGATCTCTGCATGCCTGACAAGCTGAGGGAACCATTTCTGCAGGGGCTTGGGGTCTCCTATAGAGAGAGTTCTCCTATATAGAAATCCTATAGACATCTAAAGCCAGATTTCACTGAGACAATATTTCTGTGGTGGAAGGTGGGTCCAGGGAAATTTGCATGTACATATATATTTGAGAAGAAGCCAAAAGGGAACAGATAGAAAATTTCATTTTTACATTTTCAACAGAGGGGATTTTTTTAAAGAACACGTATGTCATTTATTTGCCAGAAAAGTAGAAATCCTAATACCTGCAGTCTAAATAGCAAAATGTCAAAAGGGCTAAGATACATAAAAAAATTACAGAAAGAGAAATCATTGAATCCTTTGTGAGGAAGGTACTGACATCCCCTGCAAGTAGAATTCTGTCTTTGTTGGCACTAACTGCAAAGGGAGATGAGTGCTGCTTATCATCTCAGCGGGGGCTGTATATTCAGCTGAAGAGTCTCCATCACCATGGTATTTTCAGCACATCTCAGTTTTAATCATCAAGCTTCACTTTAGAGATGGAGAAAGCTTCTTAGTTCCCTCCCCCCTTTTTAACAGGTGGTAAAAGGATTTGTTGAAGATAGCATAAAGTTTTGGCAACTGCAAAAAATAGA